TCTTTCGAGCATCTTTAGCTCAACCTGTTCTATGCTTGCTTCTTAATTCTAGGTACCCACGTTCGAACTATCGCCACAGCAGAGTAAGTTGTTTTAGTTTCTCTCTTCCTTAACTTGTGAACCTTGATATTAAGATAGCTGTGGACGGCCGTGTGAGAGCATGAAGACTCTCTGTTCAAGTCAGCTCGATTCTGAATTTAATTTTTAATTTTTTCAAATGTAAAAGTTTAGCGCGTTTAAACGCATTGAAAACTAACGCGTTTAGCAGGATGTTTTTTGCCACATTTAGGGCGTTCAAATGCGTTAAATTATAACGCGCCGTAACGCGGTGATTATCGACACTGTGAAACGCATTGATCAGTAACGCGTTTGAACGTCCGGAATGTGACAAAAAACATCCTGCTAAACGCGTTAGTTTCTGTGAAAATTTAAACGCACTCTAACGCGTTTTTTTCGCAGAAAACGTTTGCCTGGGATGGTCCACTAAACGCGATTTTACGATCGAAATTGACGATCGATTGATTATTTTTACTATCGATTAACTGAAGAGATAAAGCCGATTTCGTTATTTCACCAGAACCGCAATTTAAACAAGTTTTCATAAATATAGATCGCGTTTTTAATAACACCCTCACACAAAATCTGCAGTTTTCGATTTGTGAAAATAGTCATCGAAGTATGTGCAAACAGTGATAAGTGTCGCATGCCAGGCATTTTCCGTTAAGGGCTCGTTTCGTTCTGGCCCCCCGGGTCAGAAAGGCCGACTTTCGCCAAAAATATCGATTTTGAAAAAATCATATGATTGGATAGCCCAAAGTGTCTTCTTACTAATGGCATAATTTTTGTGTGGATAGGATAGGTTTCTGAATGACTTTCCAGAACTCCTATAACAAAAACAAGTGACTTTTTTATACTCAGAGAGAAATTATGTGCTCTTCCATGCTGTTGTTGGTCAGACCTTGGCTATTGACCATGAGGAGTCTATTGAACATGTGTTCGACATATGCTTCGGCATATGCCCACATTATCTTCACTATAATAAAAGCTTTTTGTCTAGAAGTAATATTTTCTGTAGGTTATCCAGTATGATGAATCCGGGAGATATGTGCAGGGATATGTGTCACATACATGTAAGCATATGCATATTTATTTTGTATGATACTAGCTGGAATATATATATTTTTTCCTTCAAAAAATAACATCACATGAAAGACCATAGTAAATATAAATACAGAAATTAATAATCATCAACCCTTTTTTTCAGGTAACTGTGCTTGCATATGCACATATATCCGTGCCCGTCTGCCATGACCGATAACCTCTAGGAAAGTGTCAACAAATTATTTAACACTCAAATAGTTTTCAAGTAAAACGCATTTAACACAATCAAAACTTATTTTGCGTTCTTCTCAAGACTATTTTTTAGCTTCGCAGCTTTCGCCACCAGGAATTCGCCGTAACGATACACCGAAGAAAGATAATTTTTTTTATCTGTAGATAATATCTTGACACAGTCCGCTTTTTACAATATACTTCCATTTTTTAAAGAAATGAGGATTTCTAAGAAGCTTCCAACAATTTTTCGATTTCAAAGTTCTATCAACCACTGTCGAGCTCTGTCAATTATTAGCCATAGGTGTTTACTGCAAAACAAAAGAACCCGAGCTCTCTATCACTTACCTGGAATAAAATGTTTGCGCATGATAGTCGCCTATTTTTGGCCCTAGTTGTGGCGCCACAGAAAAAATTTCGTTACTATGCTTTAACATGATCAACATTCTCTGAAAGTTTGGCTCAGTTCATACGTACCTGAGCTGAGATAGCTTTTTGATCCGCCGGGGAAGGGGTGTATCTTAAGCCAAGACTGAAACTCAGTAGAGACATACAAATGAAGAATAAGTTGAACTATTTGCTAGTTCTTTGATATAAGGAAGAAAAGAGAACAAAAACGATGAGTTTATCTTTGCTACAAACACTTTCCTGATTTTGACTTTGCTCAGCAAGCGTCAGAAACGTATCGGTTTTATCGGTAAAAAGCAATAACTAGAATAACGACAATCGGCAGAAGCGATAATCGAATAACTAATAATCGGTAAGAAGCGATAAAACCGATAAATTATCGTTAGTTATCTGTGTGCACTGTAAAAAAGTAAGACGCGGAGCGTTAAAAGTAGATGCTGCGAGCGTTTTACTAAGACGTTTCGATTACTTTTCTATTGGTCGAATTATCAACGAGAAAGACGCTCGCAACATCTTAGAGTAACATTTTTTAACGCCTCGCGCATCTTACAAAAGTCTGATTGTCAGCACAGACCATTTGTGTTTTCAAGACAGTTTAGTGTGCCGGAAATTATACCAAATATGCGTTTCACGTCAAAAGTAATCTGGAATTGGAAAGATAAACGTAATTTCTGAAAATTTCTGCATTGATCGAAAATTCTTGATTTTCCTCGAAATTCACTTGGGATGAATTCTGACATAAAAAAATAGATTACGCTTAATTTCTGGGAGCTCCTAGAAACTAAGCTTGACAACGCATCAGGTTGTTTTGTATGGCGTCAGATACAGTCAGGCAAGCATAAATATGTAAGCTACCTACTAGTATTTCTTAATATTCTAATTAATGTTCGTACTCCTGCACTTCTTTTTTCCGGGCGAAATCAACGACATAGGCAAGAAAAACAAGATATTATAAAATTCTGATTTTATTTAAAACACAAGAACAGTATTGTTGCATTCAGTAAAAACAAGATAAAATAACACAGTACCAAGTACATCAAAAAGGAAAACACATATCTGTTCTGCTTACAAAAAAAAAATAAATGATTTTCTCGACTCTGGGCAAGTTTCTTAAAAAAAATTTTCCACTTTCCTTAACTTTGAGTTAAGTTTTCTTTACGTAAATAATCTTTTTTATTTTTTAACTTCTTTACTTACATCTGTTCCTAGTAAAACTAAACATAATTAGATGGAAGGTTTCAGAGAAATTCGTTCATAAGTTTTCTTTGAAACAATCTAAATTGTCTAAAATAGGAGTTGCTTTTACCGTATTATCTCTGCCTAAGGCTTTTTAGGAAACGTACCTAAGTAAAAAAAATTGACTCATACTCAGAAAGTTTGATTTAGGTGCAACTTCATTTTCACTTAAGTTTTTTTAAGAAACTCGCCGCTGGAAAAGATTTTACTGCAATTCTCTATGTTGATATTTTAGTCTCTCAACCCATTGTTGAATTCCTGTTTTATCACTTGTTGTTGCTGATTCATTTAAAAAATCATCAATCACTTGAAGAAACTTGTTACTATGTTTTACGTCCAAACAATGATAAGCAATAAATAAAAGTGTGATAGGATATTGCAAATCTACAACGGACATAAGTAAGCTCAATAGAGCAAATATTCGAACACTTACCGCTAAGATTCACAGAAACTGGCATTTTGTACGATAAATTGGGTAAAAATAATGAGCATTGCAAATTTTTCTTCGAGGTACTTGTCGTTAAAAATAAGCCAGTTTTAATATCTCGAGCTGGTACACAGTTTACATCTTCTCGAATGGTGATAAATGTTTTTCATGTACCAATAACTGCTGACGAACTTGAAATGTGCTCTTTATCAAAGAGCATATCTCCATTGTAGATGATTTGTTTGACGATTGTCGTCCATTTGGTTTGACGAGTGATTGTAAACGTTCCAAATCTTTCATCAAGCAGTGTTTCTGAGAAGAAGATTTGTTTTTCAACACATCTCCAATATTTTTTCGTATGAAAATTTTTTTATAACTGTTTCTTGAATGTTCTTCTCATCTGAAAAGGGTAAAGAAAACTTGTAAGTACTTAGAGATATCGAAGTATCACGTTCTTACCAACATGTCGTTTACTTTGTTGTGAAATAAATGAATTTGTTGCGTTGACATTGTCCTTGATATTAACTATATAGAAGAAAATATTCCTTAAGCTAAATGTCCAGTGCACACAGTATACATACTCTTGAAAATATTTGTACTGATCGGCTGTTGTGTAAAGGCGCCGATAAACGATGTTTTACCTATAAGAAAAGAGCATAATGAGTTACAGTTACGAAAAAAAAGAGCTACTTACTCGGTGTGCATAAAGGGGCAGCGGAATTCATAGAAGTCTACAGCGATAAAATTTTCAAGATTAGCAGAAAGAATTCAAGAATTAGCATCAAGGTTTTTATCAATTTCTGAAATTTCAAAAATTCAGAATTAGCCATTCGACGAATACAGAATTAGCAGAAAGAATTCAGAA